GGCGGAGTGGCGGGATTTTTCCGGGTTAGCGCACCTGTGTCGGGCGCTTACACACTGCTCCGCGAGTGAAGACGCGCTAGGCGCTCTGGCTGGGCAGGGCTGTGAGAGCTGTCGATTTAGCTTTGCCTGAAGCCTGGGCCACTAACATCCTAAAGAAGGGCTCTCTTTACGTGTCCTCCCTGTGCAAGCCTGTTGCGTTTGTGGGTCTTCCAAGCACGGGAGACCTTGGGGGGCAATTAGGGGCACCTGTCGGGCCTCCGGAGGGGGCTTTCTTCAGGGACATCCACGGGTGTTACTTCGCCTCCCTCTGTGGCTGGCGTGGCCAGAAGCAGAATCTACCTGGAAGGGGAGAAGCCGCGCGGCTGGGATTGTGGGAGAACTGTAAAACTCGTCCCTTCCAGACACCCAAATTGATCCTCTCCCCTGCGATTCATCCCTGCCACCCAGAAGCCATTTCTGAGTTCCAGTTGCACAGACACCCATAGAGTTTCAAGAAGAGACTCCTGCAAGGTGGGGATGGACGCCTTGACCCCGACACCAAGACTCAAGATATTTGGGGCCCGGGCTCAGCTTCACTGTGTGGCTCCTGGCAGCAGCAACGGAGGGAACCGTCTCTCCTGGACCACCCATCACCCAGCCCGCATTGACTTCAGGAATCAGGACGAACTTGTGCCTGGTTTGCTTCTGCTGGGGTGAGAGGAAAGGCTGGTCCTCCTCCAACCCCAGGAGCCTTCCCTTACCAGCAGGAGCACACAGGCGAAGCCTGTCAGCTCCCGGGAGAGTTCTGGGGTGCACTGCCTCACCCACCCATCTATGTACTCAGAAACAGCCAGACTCCTGGGGCACAAGTCTGCCCCACCAACGAACACCAGAGAATTTTTTTCACCCTATTGCACCTACACACTGTCTCAGGCCTTCTTATATTTCCCAGTACACCCTCACACACTGGGTCTCCGCCGTTTCTAGATGCCCTAGACAGCTTTGCACCCAGAGGGTACGGATGCTCCTGAACCATTGGGATGGGCAACATGAAAAAAGGAGGGGCCTCAGTCATGAGCCCAAACCTCCTCCACCTTTTTCCACCTGCCCCTCAACACAAAAACATTCACACGTCCTCCAGAACCTCAGCAGTATCCCAGCAAGAGGTCCGTGGGTCCTGACTCCCGAGCCCCCACTTGGCTGATCTCTGCTTTCCCAGACACCAAAATGGTGTTTCCTACAGGGACTGGGGAAAATCGAGCCCTGTGATTCCCCTCAGATCTCCCTGGCTCTGTTTAACTTTTGCTTTCCTGGCACGTCATCGCCACCTTGTCCCCAGGTAGACCCGCCACTTCCTTGAGATGCACTTTTAGTGGTGGGAACAACAGGGTCTGGACTGGGACCATGTCCCAGCCAGGACTGCTGCTGAGCGTAAGGTGAGAGGGGAAGACTGCCCAGGAGGCACAGCAAGCCCTCTGGCACCCCTCTGCGCTCAGCCGCCCTTGACTTTTATGCCCCCAAGCGGGTGAGTCAGCCAGCTGCGCAGGAAGGCTGGATGCTACCTTCTTCACTCATTTTCACCTTTGAGGATTGCATGCATATGGAACCTTGGTGGGAACAAATGAAAGGTGGACACGGTCAGGGGAACAGAATGGGAGGGAGACTCGTGCTTCCAGGGCTATCTTTTATGGTCCCCAGAGCAAAACTCTTGGCTTCCAGCTGCCACTGGGGAAGGGGTGACAGGCCATTAGGAACTGTGTTTGGTGGATGCCTAGGGGGAGCAGTTGTATTCATCTGACAGCATCTGTGCAAAAGTTATGTCCAGCTGGCACGCTCTGGTGGGGCCCGTAGCCTCTCTTTGGGTCTAGTAGAGTGTGGAATGGAGGACTGGCTTGGTATGGTTTCTGCAGTGGGTGAGTAGCTGCTTGCGTTTATTTTCAGAGCTTCTGCATAGTTTCCCGTTTAAGTAAATATTTTCGGGGTTAGCTTTCCAAGGGGGAGGGAAAGAGGGAAGTTTCAACAAGTAGCCAGACTGTGCCTGAATAAAGCTCCAGGGCAGGTACTCTGCCCCCTACAGGCCAGTGAGAGCTCCTGGTAACCTCCCTCGATCCCCCTCGGGCTCCTGGAAAGAAGGTGCCACAGGTGGGATCTCTGACACTCGGCCTCCTCTGGCTAGAACCATCTCTTTCCCTGGGGGACAGCCACTGAGACCTCCAAGTCCAGCTTCACCGCAAGACCATGCCCTAGCCCAGCAGATCGATGGACTAGGACTGGCTGCTGGCAGGGGCACGGGTGTGAGTGTGGGTCTGCATGCTACTGGGGAGAAGCATGATATGTATTTGTGTGTGTGTGTGAGTTTACATCTGGAGAGGCTCATTCGGGTATGTATCTCATATATATTGGAACAAAAGTGTGTTTAGGTTTTTCCTGAAGACGTGTTTGTGTCTCTGAGAATGGGTTGAGAGTCTGCATGTTTGTTTTTCTGTGTGTGTGAACATATGTGTGACAGTCAGTGTGTTTCCCTGTGTGGTCACTATGTGAAAGGGTGTGTGTTTCTGGTGCCATCAGGTGTCAACAGGGCCTGGCACATAACAGCCTTTGGTCTCAGTGACTCGAATGATGATTGTGTATGGTGGTGTCCTTGTGAAAGTTCGCACAGAGCCTGTTTCCCTGGGAGTGGGTGTGTGGAAAATAGGAGGCAGGTAAGGGTATGTGGGCTTCAGGGTCTAAGCCTGGGACTGGTGGCTCAGCTCTGGGGATTCAAGGTGATGTTTCTGGTCGCTTGAGCCTCTGCGGACCCTCAGGCAATAGATGGTTCTTCACTCTGCCGCTCAGTGAAAGTCAGACAGCTGGGGCCCTGTAAGCATAGACCTGCCCCCGGGGGAACCCAAGTTATGCCGGAGAGAGCACAGCCGCCAGAAGACGCAGAGTGCGTTGCCAGGCCTGGAGCTCCTCTCGTGGTGCCCGGTGGGGCCCAGGTGGAGCAGTCTGAGCCTGCTGGCGATTCCCTTGACCTTCAGGCCTGCACAGAGTAAAGGTGGAGGCATAGCTCCCCAGCCGAGTGAGCCCGCCCAGCTGTCCGCGGCTGCCCCGCATCTCGGCGGGAACGACACCGCAGTACTCAGAAAGGACGCGCAAAGGGTCTTCCGCGAATGCTGATTTCATCAGGGAGGGAAGTCTCCAAAGAGGTCCCAGCACTCTAGGATCTCGCTGTTGGAAGAGCGCTTCATTCCCTTTCCCGTGGATTCCAGGTGGCATGCCTGCGCCGAAACGTCCTGGGCGTGGAGGAGGAACGTGTTCCGTGCCTACAGCCCGTCCTGACCCGAGACGCAAAAGCCACAACTTCCTCCTCAAGGAGTCCTGCACAGCTTGGAATCTGGCAGGATAGGCTTCAGCGCGCCGCTTAATGCGGAGGGGGAGAGGTGGACCGGGGCCCCAGAAGGGAGAGGCTGCTACAGGTTAATGTACCCATACTAGGGACCTACTGAGCAGTGTGCGGAGGCGCCCCCCCTCCACTGCCTTACGGGCCAAGCCCTGGTGCCCCCCTGCTCCTATTAAAAACATGCGCCCACCCGCCCGGCCTCCCCAGTCTCCTCAGACTTCCCTTCTTCCCCACTCCTTTCATCGCCGTCCCAAAACGACCGATTTCAGAGCCTGGAGACCTTTCCTCTACGTCCACATGCACCACCCGGGCTTTTGTGCGGGCTCCGCGGCACTTCTTGGGGCCTGCGAACCTGCCCAGGGTGTGCCACCAGGTTCTGGGGACTGCTGCCACCGCTAAGGAAGCCTACAAGGCCCGATTTGTTCCCCAGCTTTGGCATCTCCAAACATGCATCCCTTCCTTATTCAGCACACAGCTTCTCTTTTCTTACTCTCCTCCCGAAATGAAGAAAGAGGAGAGCGAGGGCCCTGCTCTGGTGATGGAGGAAGAAGAGTCCCCAAGAGAAGACCACCCACCCCCTTCATGCTTTTGCAGGGAGCTTTCCTGACAAGAAAGCAGGAGGCAGGGCTTTGTGGGGGGTGGGAGGAGGTTTCAGAGTTTTGGGTCCCTTCGTCTTAAGGGCTGTTATGCGCCATGTATGGGGGAAGGCGGCTCCTGGTTTCTGGGGCTCCTGGGCCATCGCTGCCCAGAACGGTCCACCGGGGTGTCGAGTCCCTGTAGGGAAATCAGACACTGTTGCACTCCCGGATCACGGGCCTTGTGGTATATATCCATATATATATTTATGATTTCTAATTTTATTATAAAATAAAAGCAGAAATATTTCCCGAAGAACATTCACATGAGGGCGTAATGGGGAGACGGCAAGTCCGCGGCTCGGGAGGCACACTCTGCCGGAGCACTGTGGCCCCAGCCCCGGGAGGAAGAGGAGAGAGCGCAGCGGGCCTCACGGAGAGAAACAGAGGGGCAAGAGGCAAGGGTGCCGCTCGGAGGCCCCGGCACCCCGGTCCTTTCTCTTTCACTTAAGTTATTAGGTGCAGAGCGGACACCTGCAGCCCCACTGAACCTTGGGGAGGGCCTCTGGAGAAGGCCTGGTTCCTCTGCTCTTCCCCTGCCACGTCCACCCGGGAAAGCGAGGAAGGAGGATGCAAATAGACTTCCCGGAAGGAGTAGAAAGGCTCAGGGGTACAGATCTTGGGGCCAGGAGAGCAAGGGGCCAGCCAGAGGAGATAGAAAAACAGAAATAGAGAAACAAAAACATACTGAGGGGTGACAAGCCAGAAATATAGAGGGATCGGGACCAGGGAAAGCAAGAAGGGGACGGAGAGAGGACAAGAGAGAAGGAAGGGAAAGGAACTGGAAGAAAGAGCAGGGAAGGGAAGGGAAAAGGAAAAAAGGGATGAGAAGGTCTGGAGAGAGAATATGAGAATGGTGTATAATTTATTCCCTTCCCGGGTTCAAGGCCGGATCCCAGGCCTCCAAACGATCTCAGAAGCAACTTGTTGAAAACAAATCCCAGACGAAGACCAAACCAAAGAGCCAGCCATCCACCCTGCCCCTGCCGGCGGTTCTGCCCGCTCAGCGAGTGGGACTTTCAGTACCTGATGGGGCCGCCGGCACAGGGCGCCCTCCCGACACCGTCTCTTCGGTCCCCAGCGCCAAGCTGGAAGGCGAGCGCGTCAAGGCAGGCGGGGCTCTAGGAGCCCAGGTCCACGAGGTTGGCCGACATGGGGTTGAGGATGGAGTCCTGCAGGCCGTGGTGGTGCTGCAGCGGGTCTGCGCCGCCTCCGCCCGGTACGGGCACGGGTACGGCGCTGGGGCCGGGAGGGTGGCCCAGGCTGTGCAGGGACGGCAGCCCAGCGGGCGGCGGCGGGCTGAGCAGCAGAGCGGGGCTCGACGACGAGTGGTCGGGCGTCCCCGACGGCGTCTTCTCGTCCTCCGAGCTGCCTAGCACCGACTTGCCGCTGCCGTTCAGCGACGCAGCCAGCGGGTTGTGGCTGTTGGAGTTGGAGTTTTCGCTGTTCTCCCTGCAAGTGCGGAGCAAAGCGGCCGGGTCAGCGGGGAAACCGAGGCCGCTCGGCGGCACCGCGTCGCCCGGAGCCAGACCCCGCCGCTCGCCTCTGCTCCACAGCCGCTGGGCGCTGCCCGCGGGGGTTTTCGGTTTCTACCATTTTCTCCGCCTGGCCGGGGGCTCTCGTGCTTTCTTCCCATTCTCTTACTCGCTCAGTACAAGATTTTCTCTCTTGTCCTTTTCTCTGTGCCATCTCTATCCCTTCTCGTCTCCTATTCTTAACCTCTTGAATATCTTTCCTGTTCTTTGTAGGTCCCGGCCCTACCGCGCCCCCCCTTCACTGAGTTGCTAACATTTCTTTGCCAGAGGAGAGGGGCTGTAGAGCTGGGCTCAGAAGAGTTGGGGGAGAAGGAGACAGGGATGGCGGGAAGATGCCTGGATTTTCAGATGCTTGGCTCCCCGAGCCAGAGTTGTTGAGTAGAGGTGGGGCTGGGAGAGCAAGGGTTCATGTGAAGTTAGAGCTCTCAAAGGCCTTCACCACTTAGGGGAAATCTCTGATTGGGGGTCAGGTTCCTGGAGCTAAGGGTCCTTTCTTTCTAGGTCCAAACTGGCAGGTCTTGTGAGAGCTCTCCTGTCCAAGGACAGGACAAAGCCCTAAGGATGTAGCCTTCCCCTCCCTGGTGGCACAGTGCAAACTTCCGCGGCAAGACTGGAAGCTGGGGGCTTGGAGGGCAGCCCTGGGATGGGGGGATTGCTAATCCAGGCCTAGACTTTTCCAGCATATAGAAACTGGGGGGTTCTGCCGCTCTCACCTGGGGCCTGGCCTGAGAACCCGAGTTCTTCAGGAGTCTGGATGCATGCCAGGCTGGGTAGAGGGGGACTCCAGCAAGGAGAACCCACCTCCTGCTCTGCCTTTGACTGTCAGCCCCGACCAGATCAGGAGATTTGGAATTTTGGGTCATTTTTCTCTTCACTGGCTTCCCAAGACCTTTCTGTTTTCCTGGAGGGGAACTTCCCACATGGCTAGCAGTGGAGAACTTCCAACTGTACATACCCCAACCTCATTGTCTGGGAGGCCAGGGTCGGCCTGAAGCTCCCCCTTCCACTTTCAGAGATCTGGTTCCACTGTTCAGCAACACCCTGCCACCCAACCCGGACCCTAATCATTTACTCTGGGCTGTACCGCGCCCTATACCCCCAACCCCAGGTGTCTTGTTTTGCTGTTACACTCAGGCTGGATTTCTGTTCCCACAACCTGTTTTTCTCCCATTTCCTCCTTCATATTTGGGGTTCAGAGGAGCCACAGGTTGGCAGTCACTAGGGCCTAATGGTCGACTGTTAGGCTGGTTCAGGAAGTCCTGGTTTCCTTGAGGACAGGCAACTCCCAGCCCTTCTGCGGCTCTCAGTTGACCCCAGAACTACCGACCTCCCTCCTGCACTGTAGGGCCTGAGGGGAGAAGAGTCAAGAGCTGGACAGGCCAGGGAAGGACTGCTGGGTCCAAGAAGGCAGGAAAAAGGGCATGTGTTTATCTTTTGCTCTCCTACAGCTGACAATTCCTCCCGGTCTTGCTCCTCTTGGTCCTTCCTATAAAGAATAAAGTCTCCCTATCAACTTCCATATCCAGACAAGGACTATTCTTGCCCAGGCCCCTCCGAGTTCAGGTCACACCAAGGAAGTATTAATCCCAGTCCTGACCCCTAATCCCACTTGGGCCTAGAGCTGAGTAAAACGAACAGGAAGTGCGCAGAAGTGCCCGTGAATTCGCACAGACAGCCCCAAATCTGCAGCCCTGAGTCCCCTCTGTCCTTCCGAAGACTGTCACACACTGCCTGCTGTGTCCCCCCTTGCACAGGATCCAGCCACTGTCTTGCTTTCGCCCCAAAGTTCGCTGCCTCTCCAGTTTTCTTCGCAAGCGAAGTGAGCTGACAGGGAGTGAGCTGACAACCTCCCCGATCGCTTTGCCCGCTTTAGACAAATTTCTGACCTCTCGGTCTCCCACCACAAGACCTGAAGGCCGGCAGGGTCAGTCGAGGCAGCAGCTGGGCGGTGGCAGGGGCCGAGTATCCCGTTTAGGCCTCTCCCCGGGGGCTGCGCATACGCCCCGCGACCCCCTCCCTGGAGCCCCGGGGGGAGCTGGCGCCGAAGTTCTACTTACTCGTACCTTTCTTTGGCCTCCGCTGCCCGGTCGCGCTGCCGCCGGTTCTTGAACCAGTTGCTGACCTGCGTGGTGGTGAGGCCCGTGGCCTCGGCCAGCTCGCGCTTCTCGCGCGGTGAGGGGTAGGGGTTATGCGCGTACCACTCGCGCAGCACGCTGCGACTCTTTTCCTTGAAGCAGTAGCTGGTCTCCTCGCCGTCCCAGATGGAGCGCGGCAGCGGAAACTTGCGGCGCACGCGGTATTTGCCCACGGCGCCCAGGGGCCGGCCGCGCAGCTTCTCCGCCTCGATGTAGTGCGCCTTGAGCCACAGCTGCTGCAGCTTGGCGTGGTTGTGCGGCGAGAACTGGTGGCTCTCCAGAATCTTGTAGAGCTCGCGGAAGTTGCCGCGGTGGAAGGCCACCACCGCCTTGGCCTTGAGCACGCTCTCATTCTTGTGGAGGTGCTCGCAGGCGGGCAGCGACCACAGGAAGCGGCCCAGCCGCTCGATGTTGCCGCCCTGCTGCAGCACCTCGCACACGCACGCCACTTGCTCCTGCGTGAAGCCGAAGGTGGGCAGCATGGACATGGTGCCGGCTGCGCCCCCGCCCGCCCGCGCGCGCCCTCACCGCGCTGCGCGGTCCGGCATGGGCGCCTCCCCGCCGGGCCGTCCGCGCCGAGAGGCGGGCGGGGCTGTCCCCCCCGCCACCCCCCGGCCCCGCGCGGTCTCCCAGCGAACTCCGAGTCACTGCAGCCCGTCCCGGCGCCGGCCGCAGCTGCCGCGCTCCTCCGCGCCCCCGCCGCCTTCGCGCCTCGTCTGCGCCCTCGTCCAAGCCCGGGGGTCGCCCGGGGCGCCGCTCCGCATGCTCCGCGCCCGCCCGCCGCTCCCTCGCTCGCTTCTCGCTCGCTCTCCCTCCCGTCTAGCTCGCTCGCTGCTTTTTTAATAATATTATTCTAAGCGGGCATGAGGCGCGGCGGCCCGCGCCCTGATTGGTCTGGTTATCTGACCCGGGGCCTGCCCGCGCCAGACAATAGTCGGAGTCAAATTATTCGCCATGGAGACGCTGTCAGTCACTGGTAACCCGAGCCCCGGCGGGTCGGGCGGCTCCCCCCGGCCGGCTCCGCTGACAGATCTCGGGGCTCAGCGCAAAGCCGAGGGCGGCCCAAGACGCGAGCGGGAGGTGCTCGAAGAACGTGGGAGGAGGAGAGGACCGGGCGGGGGCCGGCGGCGGTGGTGATTGACGGGGCGGACGCCCAAAGAGCAAGGGAGCGGGAAGGGGGAGGCGGAGTGGAAACGCACGGAGAAGAAAAGGGGAGGATCGAGGTGGGGAGGGAAGACGGGAGAGGAGAAGGCGGGGAACTGTTTAAGGGGGTGCTGGGAGGAAGAGGAGGGAGAAGGATGGAGGGTACCTCGAGGGGGGAGAAACTTAGAGCAGCTTTCTCGAGGCCCCACCGGGTGCCCTACCCCCACTCCGGGTCTTCAGCCTCCTCCCGGGCCTGCGTTTTGGGGATAGATTCTGCCCTGGAGCGGACCAGTAGGATGGGAGAGTTTGGACGTGCTTGGGCGCCTCTCAAGGATTTGGCTTTTCCTCCTGACAGCGCCCCGCCCCCATCCTAGGAACTCCGGACCTGGGCGGTCTTCGAGGGAAAGGGGGAGGGAGTAGGAGACAGAAGTGGAGAAGATTTGGCAGTGGCCGCAGGCGGACGCCTGAGAATGAACTTCTTGGAGGATCCCGCCTTTCCTCTCTCTCCTAACCCGGCCGGCTGCCCGGAGGTCGGTACCGCCCCAGCTCTGCGTTCTCTGCTCTTTGCCGGGCAGGGACTCACAATTAACCCCACGGGTCCCATGGCCCGGGAAACGCCAGGCACTAACTTGGGGCCTCTACGGAAAGTGACTCCTGTCTGCAGCGCCAGCAGTCTGCTCACGGGGAGGCGAGGGCAGAGAGTCTTGGACGCCCGTGGCCTTCGCGGGTGGGTGGTCGGGGAGGACAGAGTAGGTGCAAGACCCACCCGCCCTCTGGCCTCTGAGCTCGGACTTGGCTCCGGGCACCTCCAGCCTGGGAACCAGATCTCTGAGCTCCGGAATAAGAGTCTTAAAAGGGGAATCCTGGTTTTTTCGTGCGTGTCTCTATAAAGGGAGTGCATGAAAATAGTGGTGCTGGTTCTCCAGGAGGAGGGCATGAAAAAGTAGGTGGAAGATCTGGAGGTGGAAGGCGGGGGAGAGGGGTGCTGCTGCTCTTTCTACGGTTTTGAAAAACCCGGGCTTAGCTTCTTCCCGGACTGGTCCTTTCCATTTCCGTTTCCTGGTTTTTGCTCTGGGCTGTCGGGAGGCTGGAGTCAACTCTGCTTCCAGTTCCAGGACCCAGGCCAGCACAGAGCCTGGGCTCTGCCCTCAGCTTAGAACTGTGGAACTTGTGTCTAGGCCACATATCTTCCCCCCCCCCCCCATCCTTTAAAATTTTCTCTGGAGGTTGTGCTAGGAGCACCAGATGGGCGTCCAGAACCTTGGGTTCAAGTTTTTGCTTTGCTTGGTGTCTATGAGAAAATTCTGTGTTTATTTCATCTCCTTAGTGAGATTTCCAGAAATCTGTTCTAGCAGTCTAGAAGTCCTCTGGGGGAGTTGCAGGCATGGGAGAGTGGAACCCTGGGACTCACCCTAAGACTTGCTTTTGGAGGCCTCCAGGGTGTGTGTTGTGAGATCAGGGCTGTGAAAGTAGGTTCCAAGCCAGTGCTAGGGACAGCTCCCTGTAGACGTGCAGGTAGCATCTTCCGAGTGTGTCTGTTGGGTGGGAGGAGTCCCGCTGCATCCAGGCCACTCTATCCCCAGTCCTGTGTGCTGCTACCTGGGATTCGCACAACAGTCAGTCTTAGAGGCCTCTGGAAGACATGGTGAAGTATTTCTCCCTGGCTGCACTAATGTTCACAGTCTATCTTGCTGACCCCCAAGAATGGGCAGCCTACTCTTTCCAAGACCTAATCTTCAGCCACATGGTTAATGATAGGAAGTTGGTCCCAGCTCTCAACCATGGCCATCTTACATCTTGGCAAGGTCAGGCTGGGCTGAGGGGGAGTGGGGACCACTCACCACGTGAGTGGGCTTAGGCAGTAGATTCCTGATGTAAGACTGGGCTTATGATCTGTTCCACTTCACTTTCTCCCATTAGTAGATGAGGCTAGTGTGATCTTTCTTGCGTCCCTGCTGATTCTGGGCGGGGCTGGGTCTGAGAGTCCTCAGCTTGAAAAGGCAAGTGAATTTTGCAGCTTTAGCCTGAACTTCCACCATGAATCTACCCCTCCCTGGTCTCTTGGAACTTTAGGATTGAACTTCCCCCAGAGCTGGGTTCTGCCCTGGTCAGCTAAGGCATGTTTTCTGAAACTTCAGACTCACTGCTCTTTCCAGTTTTGCCTTTTTTGGGAGCCCTGGCTGCCAAGCCCCAGAGTCACCCGTGCCAAAAGCATAGCCGTGGTCCTGGATAATATCATGTGTGCCATGTGAAAAGTCATCACAGAGCAAGCACGGAAAACCTGGAACACTATGACCCAATGTCTGGGTGTATGTGCCTATGCCACCAGCTCTCCCCTTCCCTCCATATCATAGGAAACTGGCTCTAGCAGGTCTGGGCTAGAACCTCTTTTTAGCAGGGACAGCTGAGTGCCTGTCCTATAAAGGTTACAAGCTCAGCTAGGCTCTCCACCATCTGAAGCCCTCTCCCTGCCTAGCCCCCTGGCTGGTAGTATTTGCCACAGGACAGAGCACATGGCAGTATCTGGGTGAGGTGAGTTAAGGCAACCTTGACCCCAGGTTCCAGTGCTCCGAGCAGCTGCTGGAGAAGCCTTGGTTCTAACCCACTCCAATCTATCCAATCCCATATTCCTTCCATCTGAAGACATGCTGGGGAGGCCTGCACTGGTCACTTCATCAGGCACAAAGAAGACAGGCTCCATGGCGGGGAAGGGGAAAACTTGTAGGGAGGTGGAAATTTGGGACTCACTGAAATGTGTCCTTTCGCCTCCAAGGTGTGCTGGAGGTCCCATGGGATCACACTTTCTGGAACGCAGCAGCGCAGGTACATAGGTGAGCTCACACTGACGGACTGTCCCTGCCCCTTGCTCAGGGACAGTCTGGGGGCTTTTGTGTCTGGAGCTCTCCAGAGCAAGGCCCCAGCTACCCCCCCCCCGCCCCACCCTCACAGATGGCACCCGTTGCCCAGTCCAGTGCTAGCATATTGCCCACTAGCAGAACTTCTGGGGAAAGGAGAAGGCAGCCTCACCAGCCCCCTAGGAGCTTCCCTGACTTTGGGTTGAGGCCATTTGGGAAAGAAGGGGGTGATGTAAGGAGGAGCTGCTAGCAGGCTATTTCCAACGCTAGCAGAGGAAGGAGCGAGGGGGCGGGGTGCTCGGTGTCAAAACGGAAGGCCAGAAACTTTTTTTTAATCTTTATTTTTTCCAGTGTTTGAAGGCTGCAGACCACCCCCCCCCACACACACACCCCCTACCCTGAGCCAGGACATACTATGGCTTTGGAGCCGCCACTCCCTGGGGACCTCCCCATAGCGCAGGTCGCACCAGGTTGGGTTCTGGGACATCGCCGCCAGGGGTGGGGGTGGAGATGGTGAGCGTCAGCGCCCCCTATTCCCGCTGCACCCTAGCTGAGACCTGGCCTCCCACACCCGCCTAGACCGCGGCGCGTTTCGTTGCAAGCGGGCAAGCGGCGCAGGGCGGGTGTGCGCTGAGGCTCCCGCCACCTCCCTGCCGCGGGGCCCTGGGCCCTGGGGCCCCTCAGGTTACAAGGCGGCCCCGGGGTTGGGGGGAGGGACCCGAGTACCAAAGTAGTATTTGCAAAACCCGGCACCCCACGGTTTTCTGTGTTGCCCAACGTTTGGGGGCAGTCAAGGTGCAGGCATTCCACTCACATAAATCTCCATTTCAGAAAGTGGCCCCCAAGGCACCCCAACCCCGGGCAAGGTTTCGCGCGCTGGACTCCGGGCGTTAGCCCTCCGGAAAAAGCGCGACTCTGGGCGTCGCCAACGCCACGTGTGCCTGGCACGGTCACAAGTCCCCCAGGGCCGGAGTAGCAGGGTCCCTCTCTGGGCATTTTGTTCCACACCCGCGAGGCGGCCTAGAAGGCCCTCCAGAGACAACGGTTCGGAGGTCACGGGCTCACAGGGATTCTTGTTCCAACGAAAAGAGTGAGAACTAGGGCTGGGGGCCCGTTTGGAGGCCGGCAAATCGGTGACTCAGCCCGAGAAGGCACCAGCACCGAGAAAGACCAAGCGGCACCTGAGGCGGGTACCCAGGCCCAGGGCGCTGTCCGCCCTCGGATGACGCCCAGCCTGGCTCTCTAGGCCTTCTCTCCCCGCCCGCGGTCACGGTCAGGGCTGGAGTCCCTTCCTGCCTGCACCACGCTCCCTCCCGGGCTGGCAGGGGAACTGGCAGGGGACTCGGGGCCCCTTCGCCTGCGGAGAGGTTGGGGCGTGGGCAAGGCCGGCCGGGCATCCCGGTGAGGCGGCCAGGCTCTCGGTTTTGGGTTAAGGAAGCAGCCTAAGTCTGCCACCCGATTTTTGTTCTTGGGTTTTTGTTTGTTTGTTTGTTTTTCTTTTTTCTTTTGTGTGGGCCCCTGAGAGCCTTTGCATCCCTAAACCTGCCCTGGCCAGG